ATCTATCTATCTATCTATCTATCTATCTATCTATCTATCTATCTATCTATCTATCTATCTATCGGCTGTCCCTCCTATAGAGAGAGAGAGATATAGATCTCTATCTATCTATCTATCTATCTATCTATAGATATGTTGTCCCTTCTACATATATATATGTAGGAAGGCCAACCTTTTGGATCACGTCCTCTTCCCTGCTATCCCAAGCAACCTTTCACAAGCTCTACTTTAAAACTGATTAGACTGAAGAAAGTAGAAGTCCTGGAAGTTGTAGGGCAGAGGTGCAGGACAGAGATCATCCTAGATATGCCCTGCTTAAACCTGCCTCTCCATAGTATCTCCCAGGGATGGTGGTGTGAGCCAGCATGGCCTTTCTGATGTCTTTGGGTTGCTTGTCCTGACTGCTGTAGCTGGCCTAGACCCTCACGGCTGTTTCTAGTCCCAGCCTAAAGTTGCTCCTGGCCAGTTTATACCTAGCCTATCTGTGCTGCTGCTTTTCTTGGGCACAGACACCAAGGAGCAGTTTAGGGCAGTATAAGGAAGAGACACAAATGAGCTCTTGGTGAAGCGGGGAGATCTGTGGAAGTGGGCTGGCTCCTGTAAGGAAGAGCCGAGGCACCTGAGCTCTGCACTGAACAAAGCTCCTGGGGATGCACCTGAGGGACCAAAGCCGCCCAGGGCTCCCAGGTGAACAGACTGGCTCAGCTCTCATGAGTCTCTCCCACCTCTGTTTCCACGTTGACACCATGACTGGGGGCTGACAGCTGGGTTGGGAGCAAAGGACTATCTTCCACCTGGCAGGGCTGGGTGCTGAGCAGTGCCTGGGATACAGTCTGTGTTCCTGTGTGCCCTCGGCGTTTGGAAAAGACTCGCATTGAAATTGCATCTTCTTCTTCGTCCTTCCCGACCGGGCTGTGGAGCAAATTGGATACAAGCAAAATTTCCAGATGCAATGGGTGGCTTGGGGAGAGGCTTGGAGGAGGGGGCAGGTCCCAGAGGCGGCATTCGTGCTGGGGAAGGTAGGTTTGTCTTTTGCTGCTAATACTTCCCTGGTGATCACTCAGTGGCTCTTTGAGCACTGGCAACTGCAGTTTCCCCGTTGTCTCCCCTCTCCTAGCAGCAGGCACCGGGGGCATCCAACATCATTAAGCCGTGGCTCGTGGAAGGAGACGGGGAGAATTATTTGGTGGGGAGAGGACCTCCCAGATGGCACAGAGGTTGAAATGGGGATGCATATACAGTGCTTGCAAAAAAGCAAATCCATGAGCCTGCTGCAGGGATGGGGAAGGGACTGGTGGGTGCAGATGAGCACTTCCAAGCTGCGGATGGGCAGTTGCATGAGCGAATGGATGGGTAAATGTGGCAGCTTCGCTCCTAGCTAAGAGCAGTGATTGAAACCTAGAAAACGAGGGTGGGAGGAGCCCTTAGGAGGTCACATCTAGTCCAACCCCCTGCTCCAAGCAGGACCAGCCCCAACTGCATCATCTCTGCTGCCGCGCTTTGAGATCCTTAAGGATGCCATTTAGCACTGCTGGGTGTGCAGATGCCTACACGTGATTCACAAGACAAACCCAGCGGTTTCAAACAGGAATCCAGAGTGGCCAAACCACTCTGCCCTGCTGCAGTCTTTGCAACAGAAGAATTGCTCTAGGATTTTTCCCTAGTCAAGAGACAAGTGAAAACTAAGAGTATTTTCCGACAGTCTAAAAAGGTTGAGCACCACTGACTCAGAGGAAGGGAGGTGGGAGTCGGTGCTTGGGCCCAGATCCCAAAAGGCTTTTAGGGTCCTAGCAGCTGTACAGGTGCCTGAATGCCTTTTTGGGGCCTGGCTCAAAGAGGGTTTCAAAGCCACATAAGGCGGTGGGAGGTGGGAGATGGACTCCTTGGAAATCCCAGGCATCATCCAGGCTGGTTGTAAACAACACAGCAGACAGGCGCCTTCGAGAGAGATGCCAAGAGCCACCGGGTAATAAAGCAAGGTTAAGCATATGCTTAAGTGCTTTGCTGAGTTAGGCACTTTAATTAGTACCAGTTAATCCTGGTGCAGAATGACCTGCGCTGGGAGGGAATTGCAGGAAGCACCTTTACGATATCTGCGCCGCCGGCGGCAGCGACGACGTGACTCTTTATAGCCTCCTGCCAGGGTTCACGTGACACCGACTTACTGGCGCTGGGCTCTGAAGCGCAGCTAGCCGTGCGGTCCTGAAATAGGTGCCCTGATCCTGGAGAAAAGGCTGTTTTAAGCATCGTGGACTTCCTAGGCTGGTGGTGACCTCGGCCGTCGAGTCGTGGCACGGGCCGGAGCGCTTCCAGCCCCCAAAAGTGCCTTAGAGCAGATGTCTTAGCAAGCCCCCGGATCTTGACTTCCCCACTCCTGGGGCATTTGTTGCAGCCCTGAGTTGTCAGCTTTGCTGTGCTCATGGCTAAGCAATCACGCTTTGTTTTCATGTGGTTTTTGTCTGCGATGCTGGGTGCTTCATCCATCCAGGTGGGTATTTATGCACCATAACCCAGTGGCCTCTTCTCCTTCTTGTTAAGGTGAGCTACCTGCCTGGGCTCTTCCAGTCTCTGACGGTCGGGCACGTTC